TGCCGGACGACATGCCCGACATCTCGTTGCCTAGGCAGCATCAAGATACATACACACAACACACAACGCATCAACACTGTTTGCCTCCTCTTGTGCACTGACAGCCTTTTGCTGTCAATGTAAAGTAAGCTGGTCCATCCGGCCTCCGTCTCGAGCTACCAGAGCTAAACCCCCACGCAACCGGTGCCTCCTCGTGCTTTTCTCTCCAACTAGCTTAGCTAGGCCCATGGGGCCTGTTTCCCCATCAAGCCAGCTTCGTATCAAGGAAACCAATGTATTAGAAAACGCCTGGCTCTTTTTTGGCGGTTCCCTCTCTTGCTCCTTGCGCTTGGCTCCAAATCGTAGAAACAATAATAAGAAATGATATGGAATAAATGGAATAAGATAAAAAAAATCGCAACACATACACACACGCTTTTGTACAATGAGACGCAGCTGGGTATCATAGCAGCGAGGAAGAGATAGGGAAGCAGACAGAGACCAAGTGCTGTCTTAGGAGGAAATGCCGCGGATAATTCTAGCGTTGTTGCCGACAGCGATGGTGAAGGGAGGGACGTCCTGCAGCATATGTTAGACTAGAGTTTCATAATGAGGGAGCGCATGTCGACGACATACCTTGGTGACAACCGCACCGGCCCCAACGGTGCTTCCGCGCCCAATCCTGACGCCTGGCAGGATAATGACGCCTCCACCAATGAAGCAGTCCTCTTCGATGGTGACAGGCTTGCCAAGTTGAGGGCCCCTGCTACCTAAGCGCTTCTTAGGGTCGGTGGGTAGCGTTGCCGCGTAAATGCTCACGTTCGGTCCAATGTGGCAATTGTCGCCAATCTTGACCTCGCAGGTGTCGATGATGGTGCAACTTCGGCCAACAACGACATTCTTCCCAAGAGAGATATTGTACCCGTAGTCGCAAGTGAATGGCGCTTCCACAACAACGTCTTCGCCCACTCTTCCAATGTTGGTCACTGGCGATGCAACTGTTGGCGAAATTTGGATAGGGTCGCGAGGCTGCAAAATCTCACGGAACAGGCGGCCTCGCTCGGTTGGCGAGACACCATTGTTGGGGTTCGTCGAGTTGTTGAATCGCCAACATGCAGCGCTGCACCGTTCGCGCTCAAGGACAAGCTCCTTATCAAATGGGTAGTAGAGCTTGCCGGCAAGCATATCCTCCTTGTTCGTCGTCCTAGACCGGCTGGAAGAAAACTGGGTGTGCGATAAGGCTAGCTGCGCGGCGACTTGTGCATTGCTAGTTGCTGGAGGCTGCGGGATGGGGCTGTTCGACCTCGTGGGGTGCAGAATGTTGATTTGCGGCAGCGTGTTGCCAGGATGAGGCGTCTCCGGCTCCGGCACAGTCCTGCTAATGTCGTGCAACGGGGGCACACGCTGGTAGTCCTTTCTCTCGGAGAAGGGGGCATGGGGAGGCCCTTGGGCACTAATTGGCGTCGGGAAGGCGTTCGCTGGAGTGTAGGGAATGGCGGATAGCTTGGTCTCGGGGCTTGCAACCGATGCACTGGGAATCGTCGAGGCTGTCGGCCGGTCGTCGTCAGTCAGTAGGGGTCGGCCCTGAGGAGGATCTATCCGCAAGGGCTGGCCGCGGTAGGGAGGTAATGCCTCTCGTCTTGGTCCGACGGCTGGCTGGCTGCCGTAAGGAGCTTGCTGTGGCATACCGTAAGCACCAGGTGGGACGTAGCTGGGGTCTTTGGACTCCAAGGGGATGGCGGCGGCCTTGCTGTCCGGCTTCTGCCAAGCCGTATTTCGCTGCGGAGGATATCCTGCACAGACAAAGCCTCCACGAAGACAGTTGCTACCTGGAAAAGGGTCAGCGTTATCACTCAAACAAGAAATGGCAAAGATCAGGGCATCTCCTACATTCTGGCTTCTGCTCGTCACACTTCTTCTTCCTCCTTCGGCATGTAAGACAGCCCGTCTTGGTTCGGTTACTGAAGTTTCGCTTTCTCTTCGCCTTGTCGGATTGAAGCATATCACGGGATCCGCCAGGGGTGTAAGATCCATAGGCCATAGATCGATCATCACCGTCAGGGCTGGTGTTGTCGTAATCATTCGCATCCATCTGGTTAGCGCGTCTCAGAGCCTCCCCAATTTGCTCCTCGGATTGACCTTGGGTAGACGTTGCAGAAGGTTGATCGTAGTAACCCCTCTCCTCCCTCTCCCTCTCTCTTTCTCTTCCCTCCCGTGAATACCATGACTCACCCTGTTCCCTTGAATCTTCGCGTTCAGCGTACGGGCGATGATCGCGCGAAGGCGTTCCATAGGGTTCACGTGATTCTGGTGGGTGGGGTTGAGAAGCGGCCTCCGGGGACTTTTCCTGACGCCCGGGAGCTTCTCGCCTCAGCTCTACTGAGTTTGATCGCTTTCTCTTATGAGAGCCATCAACGTCGGGGTAAGTTGCCGTTTGATACGGGGATCTGTCCTGGCTGGGGCCGGCCCAGGGCTCCCTCTGGCTTGGGGAGGGCTCTACGGCGGCTGTCGATTTGGGCTCAGGAAGGGCGGGTTGTCCATTGGTGCGCTCGTCTGACGGGGCTCTACTGGCGTCGGCGGGCGGGTTGGGTGGTTCTGAAGTTTTTGGTGAGCCCCCATTGAGGGCAGTAAATGTTGACATGATTTAGAACGGCACCTCACCGACTCGGACGTTGAGTGGTGAAAGTCGTTACGTCGCTATGCAGGCGCGTGAGGCCGAGCAAGCGATGTTTGTGCCGTGGTAGAATAGCTGCGCAGATGCAGCAAGCGACCGGCGGCAAGGTAAGTTGACGGATAATCGTCGCGTGGTGAGTGAATAGTCAGTCGGCGGGGAGCTTCGGCAGAGATGATGTTGACGAAAAGGGTGCGCAGGTGTTCGCGCGCGTCAATGAGAGCCAGAATCAGCGATTCGGGCCGAGCCAAGCTAAGCGGAATGTTGCTCTGGAATAGCTACGGAGATGTAGAAGGACTCAGCAACAGCTATGATAGCGTTGGGCTGAAGGTCCGAGGCGAGCAAGCGAGCGGCTTTTTGAGACAGGGAGGGCGCCTCGATATCTTCCGGACTTGGAGAGTCTCTTGGGAGGTGATCTTCCGTGAGAGGTCGATGTGGATGAGTAAGAAATGGGGACCTGTTGTCTGGCGTGGTTGAGATCCAAGTCGTTGCTTTGTCGTGGGGGTGGGTAAAGTTTTCTTCTCTTTTTTTTCCTCTTTCCTTTCCTCGCGTTACCCCCTGGTCCCTTTCAAAGATCTGCACAAGAGGGAAAAAAAAAGAGAGTGAGGTGGTAATCAAGCGCAATGATGACACTCTTTGCTGGCGGGACAGAGTGCTGGTACAAAGTACAGGTGCAGCTGCAGCTGGCAAGGTGGTGCTGGGACTGGAACTGGAGCTAAGGTAGCAGCTGGAGCTGTTGCTGCTTTCTGCCGCCGGTGGTGCTTCGGTACGCGGCGCGCGGAGGTCGCGGGAGCTTGAGCTTTGGACTTTTTTCTTCCCTTCTTTTTTAGTGGGCGTCGGCGGGGGGAGGGGTGTGGGACAAATAATTGCTTGCTGGGCTGTGCGCGCGTGCGTCAGTTAAAAAAAAAAAAAAGGCAAGGTACCTTGTCTTGGGAACGTGCGACAAGGACGAGAGAGCGAGAGCGGTGTCTTATCCGCTCCGGGGGTGGAACAAGGGCAGAAATTGGTGAGAAAGATGCCGCTGAGACCTGAGGCTGTGCAGCCCTTGGTGTATGAATATGTGTGAGAGAAATTGGATGGGAACAGCCCGACCCAGCGTCCCGGCCTGTACGGATGCTCGACGCCGTCAAGAGAGTTTCTGCCCTTGCCTTGTTTGGTCTTTGGGCGGCAGATGAAGGAGACAAGAAATGCAGATGCAAAAGAGTTGGAGCGAACATTGGGCAGCAGACACGTTAGAGATTCACTCACATGAAATATCCCTATTGGGATGTTGTCTGGAGTTTTTGGCTGCCTTGACAACAACTCGACTTGAAAGTTGTGTGTACTGTGTAGTACCTGGCTATGTTTGCTGGCGGTAACCCAGGATTGGTACAGCCTTGGATCCGACACGAGGAAACGAGCTAGGAGTATCCGCAGATGCGATGTTCTGTCTGCGTTGGAGAAGAAATAGGTGCTCCAGATGAACTCGGCCCTTGGAGCAGTTCAGCGCATGCGTGGTCTTGGCTTGACGGACGGGGTTCGTATTGCGGTTGCGTCCGGCCAGGGATGACAATGACGATGACGATGGGGACGCTCAAGGTCGAAATTGGGATCTAATGTAGACAATGAGCTCCGCAATTTGCTCGCAATTTGCCGTACCGGTGGTAGTTGGATGGTTGCCCGTGCCGAGAGAGGTGATGGCAGTGGTGAGATGTGTGTTGTTGTGAGTGTGCGTATGAGACGGAAGCAGGCAGATGAATATTCGCGCCTGCGATTCGGTGTGTCGCCTGCGAGGAAGTAGAGAGTATCAAAAGAACCAAAGGGGAAACTGCGCCGGCGTTGTTCTCCTTAAAGGTACCGTGCGCCTCTCTTTCTCTCTCTCGTCTTCTCTTTCCCCAAAGTTGAGAAAGAGAAAGACAAAAAATCAAAAGGATGAGAATGGAGTATTAGTCCAGCTTCTTGCCGCTGCCCTTGTGTCCAATTGTTCAAGGCCCGTCTCTTTCCTTTCTCCCCGTCTCAGGGGTTTGTCCGAGTCGAGGGATGATGGCTGCTTTGTATGGCGGCGCTTGAGCGTTTTTTGACGCGCGATTATGCTGCGCCTGTTCGGGGGGTGGAACACTGAAGAGTGAGGAGACAATTTCCCACGTCGCGAGCCACTGAGGTAAGGTGAGGTGACTTGTGGCTGTAACGCGACTCGGATTGCAATGTATTCCGCTAAACCCGGTATAAATGCCAGTTCAAGTCAAGAATGCTGGACGGGTAGGGATATCCGTCTGTATCGATGTTTGAACCTTGCCTGCCGCGCACCGTTTGCCTCTGGGGTGTAGAGAGTGAACGTGTAGAGCGCAATGAATCTGCCCTGCCTGATGAGTTAGGCTGCGTGACTGTGAAGAGGAAATAGTTTTGGTGGTGTCGGATGTTGACGGGTGGGATGGGCGAAAGAGTGAGATGACAAGAAAGTGTAAGTGTGACGAAGGGGGGGGGAGAGGGTAGGGAATATGTTCATATCATGTGGAAGTGCAAGTGGTAGTGGTAGCGGTAGCGAACCTCGAGTGTGAAAGTGGTGGTCGGGGTGGTCGTGGTCGTGTCTTGGTATCTAATCGTTTCGAGGTACCTTTACTCTTCCACTCTCTCTCTCGCGCGCTCTGTCTCTGTCGTATCCGTACTCCGTTCGTAGTGCACCTACTCCGATGAACTGTAGAATGTATCCGCAGAAGCGTCTGGCATCTGTAGCCGCAGCCTTAGTTCGTCCCCGTAGCCGTCGTGGTGGGCAAGGAAAGCAAGGCAAGGTCAGGTATGAACCAGTCGTTGACAAGCCGGCACTGTCGAAAGTCTGAGGTGTAGGCGAGCCAAGGGCTACCCTTGATAGTGCGGGAACCAGCCAGCCTTTTTCTTTTTTTCTTTCTTCCCTCCCGATGTTACGCGCTCACTCGCCAAAGCTCAACTACAATGGCCAAATAATTAAGAAGAAGGATCTCTGTGTGTCCGTCGTCCGTATTCAACGTCCACGCTGGGCTGCGACCGCAATTGCAAGGGAACGAGAAATACCTCTCGGGATAACAGGGACGAGACGCTGGTCTCGGCGGGTGCCTCGTTACTTTTGTATCCTGTACGGATCAAGAGAAAGACACTACAAAATCTCTCCAAAAAGTACCCAGAGTGTGGCCTCACTCACTTTCTTCTTGATCCTGGTTCCCTTCTCCCGCGAAATCCCACCTTGAGTGCTGCATCCACACATAGAGCCCCCTCCTCTCGCTCGCCCTTCCTCTCTCTCTGTGTGTGTGTGTGCAAGTGTTGGTCTGAACATGCAAGAGGCATCCGTATCGCCTCTCTTCATCTTCTCCTCCCCTTCCTGGGTCATACATACGGATCCATTCCTCCCAGACACCCCAGTCCTTCGTCGCTAAACCCGGGAAACACGAGCAGCATTGGGTCGCGGCATGGCGCTTCCCACGGGTACTCGACCGCCACAAAGTACTCGCGCGATACTGCTGCCAGTAGCCACTTGCGTTTGTCGTCGCTTCCACGGCCACCAGCTGGGTCCCCTGGCGAGGCATGAACAAGGGGGGGGGATGGTATGCAGAAAGGAGGGGGCGTGTCGACAGGCCATTGGAGACTTGGGGAGAGGGCGTGAGCCACGACCTCTGCAACCCGCGTCTGGTCGCTCCAGCTGTACGGAGTACGTATCACAACTCAACTGAACTGTGCTTGACGGTAGGTCGACCTGGGCTAGCCGGGCCTGGGCTGGGATATGTCCGCCGTGCTTGTGCCCATCGCCGTTCCTGCTCGCCTTGCCTCCATCCCCAAATCGAGCTCCCCCGTGAGTCCAAGACCGTTGCCCTTCCAAGCCGTGGAATGGCAAATATCTCCTTTCTCTTTGCAACCTTTGTCTCTCATCTCCCGTAGGCTCGATGTCATGAGTGAGAGACAATTTGACTATGCCCACCAACTATTTTCCGTGTCGCGGTGATTGGTCTCCAGGCTACAAGGGTTGGCACACACCATCATCTCGCGGGCCTCACCGGCCGTATCGCCCACCTCCCCGCGATGCGATATTGGGCTAAGTGATGCATAATGGCAGTGTCCTGTATCTGTACACGTACTGCACCGTAGTGATATAGGAAACTGAGGTAGTGTGCACGTACGCACACATGTGTGCTTGATAATACGTCTCTTAACCTCTGCCACGTGATGGGGGAGGTTGATGGAGGGATCTGCCATCCTGCTACCCTCCCCCCCTTTTGAAGGCTACCGGCGCATGGCAAGGTGTGTTTTTGGCCCCCGCTCTGCCGCGGCCGTGAGCCGTCGTCATTTCCAGTGTCTCCAGAGTTTGGGGGCAGGAAACAAGCGACCGCCCATGACAAGAGCCGCCGGCTGCTTTCGCCAAAGACGCAAGGACTCACTTCCAGCATGGCGACGACCCGGGCCCATGATTTCGCCAGCGGCCAGCCTGCATCCGCTAGCCCTGTCAACCTTGACATGCTCGCCGCTCGTCACTGTCCCGGTCATATCGTCAGCATGCCGCCTCGACTCCACCATCCCAAGATTTGTACAACTTGACCGACTGTCGTTGCCTGAGCAAAGCGTTCCAGACAGTCAGACACTCTCGCGGTTCACCAAGAAGGCTCCTCGCGCATCCGGAGACGCTGCCCGCCTGTAGCGTTACACTGGTTTCCACTTGTCGCTCTCACGAAGCTTGACCCTCGTTGTAACCCTTTTGACCGCTGTTTGGCCAGGGTCGAATTATCAGGTGTGCCGTGCCGCAGAGAACTGACGCCAGGGTCTCCCACGTTTCTTAACTCTGGCAGGAAACGGCTTTGATACGTTCAGGAAGGTGAAGAAAGGAAACCCCGAGGCCTAGGTGTCGCTTGGTCCACCAGGTCCGGACCAAGCACCCCGGCCATTGCTATAAGACGCAGGACGACCGCCCCTCGGTGCAGAAGCAATCCTGGTCGAACCTTTGGTCCCTTCATCCGCTCACGTCTTCATAAATAGCACATGGCCACGCGGTAGTCCATGTCAAACGGGGTCTCATCCTCGTCATAGTGGCCATAGTTGGTTTTGACTCGGGATGGAGCGGTGGTACAGCGGCTGTTTCGGAGTGTTGAGGACCTTCATTACCGTGTGCAACAATGACCCTTCTGACGATAGGTGCTCAGATTGGACGGAGGTTCACTCTCAACGGGAAAATACTGTGAACATCCGCCAACCAGACTGAGCTATCAGCGAAATTGCCTCGTACCCCCCGGCGCAAGGTAGTAGTGGTGAGGTGAGAGCGAGCATTGCCGGCGGATGCGGTTGATCATCATTATGTAGCAACCAATGGAGCTGTCAGGATAGGGTCCCCGTGCCATGTAGTTTGACGCGATCAGTGACATCTTCTCTTCTCTTCCCCTTCTCTGCGAGCCCACTTCCCTTCGCCGCGTCTAAAAAGCACGCTCAGCGTCGTAGCTAGACCCTCAAGTGTGACGCCAACGTCGGGTATCGTCGTCAACAACCAGGCTTAGCTGGCTGTGGCTCGTATTGTCATCCCGTTCGATTGCAATCTGCAGCCGCCAACTGGGCTAGCAAACGCGGCAGTGCACCAAGCCAACCGTCTAGCAGGTTTTGGTGTCGAGTTGGCGTGAGATTAGTGAGGGGATAGTCCCATTTCCGCGTCCGCGCTGAGCCGTGTCTCGGCCCTTGGCTCCGTTCTTCAGCGTGACAACCAGTCGCGGGAGACTTCGACTTGTGAGGTATCCGTACGCAACAGCACCGTCTGCACCGCTCATCTCTAGGTGGCATTCTCTGTGCGCGGGTGTCTCCCGGTATGTAGCGACCCTGTAGGGTTGCAATCACTAGTAACTCTCCATGCGTTTGTCGCAACAATCTGGCCGCGCAATTGTCCGGTCGCGGCAGCGCATGCACCAGTCTTGTTCCGGAAACAGCTACCTACGAAATACAGATCGCGGCTGCCAATCTCTTTGCTCGTTAATCGGGGTGTTGATTTTGGGCGTTTGTCTCAGGGATCAGATACCTAGGCTGAGTGGTGGGTGTTCCTGTCGAGACTTGAGAGAGATGGATGGGGACGGTCTGGATGTGCGGCACAGAGCCCAGGTGAAGTGAGTTCGGCGATAGCACTCAGAGAGAGTGACCGTAGTGACTGTCCCATCTTTTTTTCCCAGGTTCCCTTCACATTCAAGTCTGGTGGTGGATTGGTGGTGTCTGCTCTCGTCCCTCTGACGGGGCAGGGGTGAAACAAAAACGTTAATCTTCCGATGTAGATGGACCAGGATACAGCCCAAGGTGGATTATTTTTAGCCGTGCAATCCTGGGTGGGACTGAGAGGGCAACTTGACTTTCAGTCTGCGTTGTTGGGCTATTTACCCCAGCTTTGCCCGGAACCGATCCGCTCGTCTCGTCTCGTCTCTTTGTTGCGTATGTGAGGGCAAGGCGTTGGAAGAGAAGGCATTATGTCGTCGGCTCTGACGGCGGTCAAAGTGTCTCCAGACCAAAGGGTATCGCAAGTTGTTGCACCCCTTCCTTTACATCGTGCGTAGCGCTTGTCGCAGGGCGGGTGTGCGAAAAGAAAAGAGAAAAAAGCGCGGAGGCGTCCGAGTCGACCCTCCCACCCGCACCAGCGTCGCCCTCCGCTCCTCGCCCGGGTATCTTTACCGCCGCGACCCACCCACACCTACCGTGATGGCAGCTAAGCGGCATCACTGGTCTCATTGGTTCGCGACAAGTCGATATGCAGCCAACGAGAAGCCCTGATGTGCGGGAGGAGGAGAGTTGAGTAACAGGGCGGTTCGATTCGACACATGCGCTGTGACGAGACAGACGAGACTTTCTCGACGGCGCAACTTGCCCAATCTTCGGCAGTCCAATATTAGCAACCGGGACTACGCTGGCCCGTCGGTTTCGTTCCATGAGATATTGTTGCTCAAGGTGAGATGTCATGGGCTCTTCGCGATGCCGCGTAGAGTTTGACTCGAGGTTGATGAATTCCTCCACATCCTGCTTAGATCAGAGATAATGTGATGTGCGCTGCATTGGTCGGAGACTCATGCGGCTATCACGATTTCGCTGCACAAGTGCTGACATCTTGTCACACACAGGCGCACAAGCGCACACCTCCTTCACCGTCTATTGCGCATACCAAAGGTAAGGCATTATGATCTTTGGCCATCAGATTCAGGAGAAAATTAAGTCAGAAATGCGAACGGCCTGCAGCTGACTGGCTTCTCAACTTGACTTTGCAAACGACGTTATGTTTTTGCTTAGTCGTTGCAGCTTTGACCAGGCGCCTGGAGATATCGCCCGACTCATGTATTTGGCAGCGGATGTTCTCCTCGAGGTATACGCCAAGTTCCTCTAGAAAAGCCGTGGCTTGTGTTGCTTGCGTCTATCGATGCGACGAATCACAATACTGTCTCGAAGTCAAGTCTGCAAATGATAATATCATAGCTGTATGCGTATGAACTTGGCCTTGGTGGAGCTTGTGAGTCCTTTGCCTGGTCGCTCGGTAATGAAGAAAGCCTAACCAGAAATTGTGGGAATGTCGTCTCGTGGGGCCAGCCGGAGCGAGAAGCACGAGGAGCGAAATGGAAGGCGTTTGAGAGCATCAGCACAATGGTGCAATGTATTTGCCGTATGGGGGTTCCCACTCCGCGACTGTGTCTGGTTGACCGTTGTTCATCTGTGTGACAGTGTCCACTGTCGCATCGAAAGATCAGACAAATGCGGAATGACCACCGCGATGTGGAGCACGGAAGGAAGGCAACGGTAGCAAACAGCGCAGAACCTCTGGGCCGCCAGCCGAACTGCTATATGTGTTAGGAGGCCGTCTCGCCAGATCCGTAATGAAATGACATGGCCGACGCGTCAAGTGTCATGGCAAATGCGGCATATCTTGGTCTCCTCCGACGAAGTAGGCAGGGGCGATTTTGGACGAGCGGGGATGAAAGGCGCAGGATCAAGAGTTGAAATGGAGCAAATTCGAGGACCGAGGTTGCAGGGAGCTGCGAGAGCGGCGAGTCCAAGAGGGAACCTTGGTAAAGCGAACAAAAGCGGGGCGACGGGATTCGAGAACGAGAGAAGTCAGGGACTCAGTTATTCTTTTGCAGTCGAGAATTAAACCCCTGGTCCGTCGTCTGTCGCATTGTGCCGTCACCAACTGATCAGGGATTGTGGAGGTGAGATAAACTGTGACAATAAAGTAGGGTAAGCAGAGGCAGGGGTAAAGGGGCACGGCAGCATAGGTGTACATACGTCGACCTATGGCGGGAGCCGAGACAGAGTGCCAGAGTGGTGACCGGCCATCCAGACGAGGTACAATCGGGTGTTGACGACGGTCGAGTGTGTTGGATGTGACGGTGATACATACCAGGCAGGCCAACAATCAGGTGGCTAGAGTAAGATTGACTGCGGTATGAGAAAACGAGGGGGACTGTATGGACCAAGGTTCGAGCCGGCTCGGGGAAGGCGAGAGCTGGAAACAAGACGGCGCCCGGATGGGATTGTGTTGGTTCTTGTTTAGGTAGTTATCGTCCGCAGGAGATGTCTCGTCCCATCCAATGTCCTGCAGGATGCTGCTATTCCTGGCCATCGGCGACTGACGACGAACGGCGTTCGGTTCCAACTTCCAGCAGACGATTGAGGGATGCGGATAATACACCCCGGAATTTACAGAAATATCGGGCCCACCACATCTCTATGGAGATGCTGAGCCCGTGGTTGGTCCAAAGCCGCCGAAACGAAGTTTGGTAATGCGTCTCATTGGCGATAGCAGCCCGGGCGGCGGCATTTGCTGGAAGGGAATGGAAATAATCCAAAGTGACTCATGGAAGAGTGCGAGAGAGAGTGTGAGCCTCGGTGTCTCGGGAGACGAGGGTCTGGCAAACAATCTGACGGGACAGAGTGGAGGGTCGCACAGGAACGATGAACGATTCGGCACCGTCGAGAAAAATCCTTGACGTTGATGAGGGCAATGGAACACTGGGACTCGATCTGCAGTTGTTGGTTCTTTGCGGGCGACGGGACATCCGCAGTTTGGGGGCTACCGAGCCCGCTTAGAGATTCAAGCGCGCTGACAGGGGGAAGGGGCCTTCCATGTCAGGAACCTACTGCCCAGTTGACAACTTCCATTGACGGAAGGACCCAGGTACCTGCCCACCTGCCCAGCTTCGGCTTGGGTAAAAGCGGCAGGAGGTATCCGAATCATCAACCTGCAGAGGCAAGAGCCTACCTTAAAGCACCCGGCCTGTTTCCGATTTTGCCGCCATTGATCAGTTCCTTCCCCAGGCTCCCATCAAGATGAATACCTTACCTGTTACAAGACTCCCGCAGTAAAGGCACCTCCACAGATTGACTGCTTGGCCCGCGACCACCTAATGTAGAAGGCACTCGTGGCACTCTAAGGTACTTGAGAATAGGTCCCCGGGCAGTATCACCTTGCCTTAGTCATCCGTAACTCGATGCAAACCACGGCTTCTTCAACTTAGGTTGACAAGCGTAGGGAAGGAGTGCCCTGTATGTTGTATCGTCGATCCAATCTCTTTCACTGCAAACTACGGATAATTTTATCTTCATTGTTCTCGATCATCGCAGCCTTGATGAAAACAACTGAACCCTGGGCCCTAAGAAATGTGACCTTCAGGTGGATACACTGGCACGACTGGCTCTCTTCTTCGGTTTCAATTTTTGAACAAAAGTATCCTTTTACTTGTTTTCCAGAATGGCGTCTACCACCTCTCAACTTGACCACATCACGCCTCATGTCTTCCTGCCATGTCTCTTCAGACGTAATTTTCAAACCCATTGTCGTCCAAGAGACGACCCTTATTTTCAGAAATACCGACGTGTTTCTAATCTTAGAAGTGTCAAGATCTCTGCCATGCACAACATCGCAGCTCCATCACACAAACCCTTACAACAGCTTGGCTTTCAGCCAATGGTGTCGCTCGACTCCAACTAAGCGCCCACTCATAAGCGCTCCCTCATTCTCCTCGCAAACGACAACTTCAAACTCCACGTTGCTGACTACCCTTCTTCTAGAAAAGTTCTCTTCCACCGCATGGCATGGCAATCTTCCCAAACCCATGAATTTCTACACTTTCGAGGCGCCTGGGTCTCTATTAATAACTACCGGACCCAACAGCAAGTTCCGCTCCTGGTCCTGGCATCTTTGACCGAGCGAGCGGCCTGCAGATCTCCCCTTCCCTAAAGGCCTGACTACAGCCCACTCCCTGTATCCGCGCCGTGCGGCACACGCGCCAGACGAGCAGTTACATGTCTAAATTTCTAGCTTTCTCAACCTGCAAGGTACGCAAGCGACCATACATCCCGCGTTCTCTAGCATGACGACAGCCTCTCGACGAACCGACGCCCAGGATACCTAAGGCTAGACACGGAGCCGAGCCCATTGTTCCCCAGCGTCACGCCGACGCCTCCTTCTCTGGACCTCGTCTAACCTCCCTCTCCATATGTATGAAACTCTTCTTCCCTGCAGGCAAGATCTCGAGATTGCCAATTAGGTCCCTGACGCGGCCGCCGCTTAATCTTGACGCCCTCCAACTCACACCCCCATCCGTGGACACAACAGAACCAGGACCCTGAAGTCAGTAGAAGCACGATCGTGGCACGAAGACCTTCACCGACATCATCTCGATCGGCCTCCAATCATTGGGCCGGCCAGTCTCGTCACAGGCGGGTCCAGAGATCTAAAGGGCCCTGGCAGTCTCGTGCGTTCATAAACCCCCCTTCCACCTTCCAGCAGACTATATGACCCGGCTCCGAGGCAAGCGGCATGCTATGATCAGTCACCTTCCCAACCGTAACCGCTCTCCACGTCGATATTTTTAGCTGCCGTTGCTATATTAAGATGATTAGCCTCACCTGCAGCCGCCTATGAGCTGCATCTTGCTTAATGAGACGTCACGTCCTGCGTTGAACTTCATGGGTTCCCCTACACCGAAGGGACCCTTATCTCTCGCAACCACCCTCTAATCCCGCCGCAATTATAATTGCAAAAGAAGCGAACTGCAGAGACTTATTCCATTTCTCCCTTTTTGAGTTGTCAAACTTGCCTCCTGTACTCCATAACCCTGGCACGATATCGTTGTAACAACACCAACTTACACGACATCCATACAAATGTGTAAGCGCGGGGCAAAAGCGACAAGGTTACCTCGAGGTGCAGCATTTTGATATTGCCCACCGCTAGGTTCCGGCTCTTCTGCATACCTATCGGCGTTTTTTTGTTTCATGATCCTCCTTTCCCATTGCTACTTCATCCCACTACGACATGGGCGCATCATCCAGACATGGGCACTTCGTCAAGACATGGGCACATCATCCAGACGTACCCCCGGTCACAACGCCCACGTGAAGCAAAGATACCCAGCAACGTCGGGCAAAAGCAGCAGTCCTGTTTCTTATTTTCCTTGTTTCAAGCTTTTCTACATTTTCCCACTAACCCCAGACAAACTCCGTAGAGGCGGCGGCTTTTCCCACATCGCTCTGCCTCGATACCTAAACCAACCCAATCAACTTTGCAGCTTGAACCCTTACCCGTCCCTGTCCACGCTCCCACATCTTGGTTCCAAAATATTGCCGCGGCCCTTTTGACCAATAATCCATACACCGACAGTTCGCGCTCGCATTTCCCATCACGCCCCACTCCCCGGTCTAAGAGGAAGGGGGTGGTTGGTCAGGCGCGGAGATGACTCCTTCGAGGTTCAATCTCAATTGTGTGTGTGATTATACATATCGTAAGGCACTTCATCCATCTTCGTCACGGCGCGTAGCGCCTTGCGTAGCTAGAAGGCAAAGTACCTGATTGTCTGACGGTACTTTGACGGTACATGGCCTTCACTTGCTTCACTTCTTCTGCCTCTTGGCATTCTTCTCCTCGCCCCCGGCACTCATGACGCTGGCGCTCCGTTTATGTGTTGCCCCACTGCTCCCCGGTCGCGCTGACTTTTCCTTCTCCGCGTCCCCCTTGCCCTCCTCCGTCGCGGCCGGCGCAGCAGCTGCTACGGCAGCTGCTTTGTCCCCGTCCGCAGCGGGAGTTGCCTCCCCACCGCCGGCGTCTCCGTTGGTTTTGGGTTCATCATCCTTGGATGGCTCGGCGGCAGCTTTAGGTTCGGCGTTTGCCTCGCTCTCGCCTTCGCCCTCGCCCCCTGCGGTGGTTTTGTCCTTCTTCTCTTCCGTAGACTGGCCTTGACCTTCGCCTTCCTTCTTCTCAGCAGCCGGGTCGGGCTCTGGCTGGTTCGCCTTCTCGCGCTCCGCCCTTTTGGCCAGCTCGAGCTTGATCTCGGCGTCAATCTTGTCCGTGACCTTTCTAGCATCAAGCAGACTGTTGACGGCGCCGAGCAGGAGCTCGTATTGGGCTGTTACCGGTGCTGTCGGCATAACTAGCCTTGGCGGGATGTCGAGCTCGTTGAGCGTGTTCATGATGCGCAGTTGCTGCTGGTTCGACTTGTGTGTAAAAAGCTTGTTGATCTTCTCGTAGCGGAACGTCGGTCCACTAGACAGGCGGTCGTGGTGCGTGACACCGTAGACGTGCATCTCGGCATCGTTGAGCTTGCGGCGTTCCTGCTGCTGCTGGCCCTTCTTTCCGCCTGCCGGCGCCGTCGGTGTCTGCGCGACGCTGCTAGGAGGTTCCTTTTGTGTTTTCTCCGCCGGGGTCGCAGCCGCCGCAGCAGCAATGCTCTCGCGGCGGTCTTTGTTGTCTGTTGACGCGGCCGTCGCTGTCGCTGCAGCCGCGGGCTGTTGTCCAGCGGGCGCGGAGGGGCTGACGCCGTCCGCTGCCATGAGCGACTTCCGCTTTTTGGACTTGTCAGCATTCATCAGGTTCTGCAGTAGAGTTTGTAACCCAGCACTGGACTTGAACGCGCTGATGTCCTGGTCAGTGTGTGGGTAGTCCAGACGGTTGTAGAGCTCCCGACGCTCCTCGTTGAAACGGTCGCTGCGTGCGAGAATGCGCTTGATCTCCAGTAGTAGTGATTCCTCCTCCTTGGCTTCCTCCTTGCTCCGGGTAAGCGCGTTGTTGGCGAAGTCCTTGCGCTGCTTCTCCTGGTTGGCGTTGAAGTTGGCCATGAGCTCATGAAGGGTGTACTCGGGTTGCGTCATGTACTGAACGGGCTTCTGCACCGCCATCATCTTTGCCGCAACGTCGTAGTAGCGCGCTTTGAGGTCCTCCATCGTCCTTGGTTTCGGCACGGGGATGATAGCCTTACTCTCATCCCCGTCTGCCGACGCCTCTCCATTGATCGCTTCTGGCAAGTAGTCGTATCGGTCCCATATGATCGGCCACCGTAGGTCAAAGTCCTTCACCAACCCTAGCAGGTAATCCGTCTCCTCCTTGCTCCAGTCGTCGTTTTGCAGGTTCGTCCGGTACTGGTCTTCGCTGTACTGCGGCACATCCACCTCCACGTTGAATTTCGCAAACATCGAGTTCTCGGGCTTCACCGCTGCCTGCTCCCCTTCCGCATCTTTCATTTCGGCGTCGCCACCCTGGTGCCCATTTTCCGTAGCCGTTGGTGTCTTGCGTTTCCAGTGCTTCAGTACTAATGCGCCGCTGTCGCCCCGTGCTGAGTTTGTGAAAGGCTTAAGTTCCCACTTTGTCGCCGGTTTCCTGCTTGCGAATCGCCGCTTCTTGAAGATCGATACTTCAGGAACGATGGCGATCGGGTTATCGCCGCCCAGATTCTGGACCTCACGGGCGAGACCCTTGAGATTCGGCCGCGGGCCGGACGTCTTCTGTTTTTTCGCCGGTCGGGGGCCTCCGTGGCTGTCGGGGAGATTGAGGACATCTCGCACGTCGGAGGACGTCATAATCGCGGTGGGTAGGGAGGAGGGAAGAGCTGGCTGAAGAGTAGTTGTGATGCTGCGCGAATGGTCGGAAGGGCGGATTTTATCTTCGATTGACGATTGCCACTAGTCTGCTCGATGGCATTGATTTATCGCTGACTTGTCACATGCATCAAGGAAACGGGTGTCGTATAGTTATTTTCGGGATATTCCGTCGATGACAGTGGGCTTCGTGGTTTCATGGAGTGGTTTCCGTCGAAGAAAGACGGAGACTTACAAATGCTTCTGTTCTCCGAAATCTCGAATCCAAAAAAGGTACATTTCTTTAGACGCGCAGGTCGCATTGGCAGGCGCGCAGTCTGTCGTTTGGGGACCGCACGTGATCCACTTCCTCCCCCAAGTCCCAAGAGGTAGTGGCCAATGCCACCCCTGTTCCACCACCAATTTTTCGAACGTGGCAGCTTTGAAAGTTACTCCCGCGCACCCTGGGACTTTAATGTGGGTACCCGAGCGAACTGGCTGACCTGGCGCTGTCGACTCGAAGAAACGAAGCATCTACAATTACACCCCCTCGACAGCCGACAGACGACGAGCACCGCGAATTTGAATCGACCCTGCCCCGAAAAACCTGCGGTTTGCCCTACACTTCGTCAGCTGCATTCAACTTCCGTCGTCGACAACATGAGGCCATTTCTCCCATTGCTCTCGCTGAGCGCAGTCGCTCAGGCGCTGTACTTCTACATTGACGGCACCTCGCCCAAGTGCTTCTTCGAGGAGCTCCCCAAGGACACGCTCGTCGTTGGCCACTACACTGCCGAGGAGTGGGATGACCGGATCAACCAGTGGGCCAAGCACGATGGTCTCAGCATCTACATTTCCGTTGATGTAAGTCAAACCCCTTGGTCGCGCATCCCCCCCCCCCCCCTTTTGGAGCTACCACATAGCTATAGGCACCCGGGTCACTCTTACTGGCGTGCCCACAAGAGCAAGAAGAAAATCCATGCTGATGATCTACCTCGTAGGAAACTTTCGACAACGACCACCGTGTGGTTTCTCAGCGCGGCCAGGCATCAGGTCGTTTCACCTTCACGGCTGCCGACGCCGGCGACCACATGCTCTGCTTCACCCCTTCTTCCACCTCTGGCCGCGCCGGCTGGCTCTCGCTCCACTCCCACAACGGTGGTATCCGTCTGACACTTGACCTCGCTATTGGCGAGAGCACCGAGATCGAGAGCTCCGACAAGAGCAAGCTCGAGGATATCGCGACCCGCGTCAAGGACCTCAACGCTCGTCTGCAGGATATTCGCAGGGAGCAAGTCTTCCAGCGTGTAAGTCTTCCACCATTAGAGCCGATACAGAAGCTTTCTCTCTCACTGTTCGAGACGGGAGAGATGGCGTCCATTTGGCGCCAATGTGTATCAAGGTACCAAGCAATGCTAACGAAAACGAATCAGGAACGCGAAGCCGAGTTCAGAGACCAGTCCGAATCCACCAACGCCCGTGTCATCAGATGGATGCTTATCCAGCTCACCGTTCTCGCTGTTACCTGCACCTGGCAATTGTCTCACCTGCGGTCATTCTTCATCAAGCAGAAGCTCACATAAGGGAAACAAAAATAGGGGTTGGGGCGTGCTTGTTGCGCCCCGCAAGAGCAGAGAAGGGTCGATTGGCCATGCTCAGTGCTTGGTAGGGCCTCGTACAGAGGGAGGGAGGCTTCCAAATTGCTCATTGCATCAGGCCACTGCGGCCAGGGGCTGGGCAACGGATTTGTAATGATATACACACCAATTGTAGCTACGAAAAGCGAGGCTCGGTCAATGAAGCATACGTCGAATGTCAGAATTCTTACTTGTATCTTGCGCGGCGAAATGTATAGTCATTGTACGCCACCAAACTCACATATCGCAATATTTTCCAATCTTGGGAAAGAGCTAGTTCTCCACTACTCATCTATGAACTTGCCCTGAGTGAAAGCCTCCATTTACAGCTAAATGCGCCGCATACGTGCCGTTATCAGATGGGACGGGTGTAGCAAGGCCGACCGCGCGTGAATCTCAGCTCAGAGTAAGGTCCTGAAGCTTCTTGTCCTCATTCGACTTTACAGTTAGCTATGTCGGAGGATTTCCAGCAAGACCGTTCCCGAGTGGCAACACGCAAGGGCTATCTCATTCGATCGCCAGTAAGTGATGTAAAAGCCTAACGGCAAAGCTGAGAAGGTCTGCAGCAGACCGGATCGAGCAGTGCTCATGTGTGGGCTGGGAACATGATCACAACGGTGATAGGATCAGATGAAATGTGAAGTCAGGCGGCTAATCCCAACTAGTCTTTTACCAGTCCGGTAGGCAACCGTGCAGTGGAGATGTTAATCTTGTCACCTGTTTGAGGCTCACAATACAGGAGTGGTAGAGACGCACAATAACCTCCATGTATATATGTAGCACTCATACGAGGGGAATCAAGTTATGGCGATCGCTGTCGAGACGGAAGGCAACAGAGCCTCATGCATGCTAGTGGCCTTGTCACCTCTTCCCAAGCTTCTATAGCATTCCAAGTGCACCAGATCGTAATTTTTCTTTTGAAAGTCACTTTTGGCTGCATGACTGGGAATACCTCTTGGGCTTATCCAAGGTTTTGATACCCTCCCATAGGTGAAGCTTGGAAAGTAAATACACAGTTCTCACAGCAGACACGAAGTTGCACTCAAATCAAAGAAGTCGGACATCGCTCGTCGTCTGAAGTAAATAAGAAGAGTGGGTATATTGCCATTCAAAAATGAATCCAGCGTCTCGTCAGCTCCTATATCCATACGTTGATTGCCCGCCGATCACAGCACACTCAGCCTCCCCTTCGCCTCAGGACCAAGCGGCAGCTCGGCCATCCTCTGCTCCTCAAGACTCTTCATCTCGTCCCGCGTCGCCCTCCGCGTGAGAGCGTCCTCCATCTTCCTCAGCGCGAGCTCCCTGTTGACCAGCCGAGAAAAGGCCCGCAGCGTAAAGTCGTCCGCCTCGTGCCCCGAGGCCTCGAGGCGCTGGAGGGACAGCACCGTCTTATTGACGTCCTGAGCCCTGGCGTAGCCCGCGATCAGGGTGTTCCAGGTGACCAGGTTCGGCTCGACGCCGTGCTGGCGCATTTGGGCGAGGATCCGCTCCCCGGAGCCCTTTTCCTTACTGAAGCCGTGCAGGAGGATGCTCCAGGTGAAGACGCTTGGAGCAGGGTGCAGCGGCGCGGGAGCAACCTCGGTCTCCTTGATCTCGCTCTGCGGGACTTTGCTCTCCTGTGCTTGTCTATCTTGAGCCCCAGTCTGTTGAATCTCGGTCTCCTTAACCTCAGTCCTCCTGCTGCCACTTCTCCCCTTCGAGGACTGCTTCGCTGCGTCGGCTGCTCTGCTCCGCTCTTCAAGCGTGTACTTGAGCATGTCGCCGACGATATCCAGCGCGGCACGAAGCATGCCTGGGTGCTTGCAGAGCGCCTTGATAAGGACATCATACATGAATGACCCCTTCTCCTGCACCAGCTTGGTGGCGCCGGGGCTACCCTTCAAAATCTCCTGTCTGAGGTACGCGTATAGTGAAATGAGGTTGATGGGCTGTGACATGCTCCTCACGTATGCGAGGAACATGATGCTCAGGGTTGCACTCGTCGGTTCCATCTTCTCATGGACGGTGGACATGGCCCTGTCAAGTGCAGGAAATAGTTGTCGCGCCAACTCCCAATCCGCTGGCATCTGCAGGCCTTCTTGGCCCTCGAGGTACATTGACAGGTCCACGGGAAGGAGAGCCTGCAATGGTGCCAAATGGAACACCTTTGAGTAGAAGTGTAACATTGGCCCAAAGGCCGGCATGACACCGGGCGTCCACTTGCAGAAGTGAAGCAGGCACATCAGTAGGTCGTTGAAGAAGGGAACGTCAATCTCATTGCCCTCGACAGCTCCTATGACGGCAGATTCGATACTCGACGGCGAAAGAGCTCGCTTTCCTCCGTCTAACAGAGTAGACCACATGATCATGTCTGGTTCAAAGTTGTGCCGCTGCATAACCCGGAACACCTCCTCTGCAACTTCATTCTGATCTGTCAGGCACAGCGACCTGATCACTGCCGTGTAGTGCACCATGTTGGGAGCAAAGCCATGCTCTATAAGGGTAACAAATGCGTCCGCAGCTGAAAACCCGTCGTCAACCTTGATTTGGCCACGCTTGAGACTCAAGATTGAGGTACACAAAGATGCCCATAGGCCTGAGTCGAGATCAACACCTTGGTCTGGGATAGAATCGATGGCCATCTGGAGAGCTAGGTTCTTATGTAAGGGGCTGACTGCAAGCCGTCTGGCCATATTTTGGAGAGTGTTGCTGTGGAGTCGGACGTCCTTTTCCCTCCAACAATCGTAAAGGGCAATCAAGGTGGGCAACTCTACCTCATGCGTCAGCATGTAGATGGTGTTTTGCCTCAGGGGGATATAAGCCGCAGGCAGACGTTCAAAGACCGTCACGACCACGTTACAAAGATGTCTTCTCTGCTCAGTAAACTCAGGCTTGGATAGTTGACTTTGCCACTTTGCGAGGAAGTGAATAGCATCACTGATGGCGTAACCCGGCGGCTTGATATCGCGGGTGGTGATTTCGAGTATGGCTGTAGCCCGATCAGGACAAGACCATAAAGCAGAGAACATGAGCTTTCGCCACTTTGTCTTCTTCTGCTCCTCAGTCCATGTCGGCCATTGCTCGATCGCGTCTTCAACGGCTTGACGGTCTTGGATCCAGCTGAGGACTTTTGGGACTTTGTAGCCTTCGCCGAAAGATGCGAATCCGTACAATCTTTTGCAGTCGTTTTTCCAATTCTCAAAGTCTTTCAACTCCTTCTTGGTCATGCGATGGCGGAGGTACCCATATTCCAGGTATCTTCTCTTCCTCTCTTTTACGAGCTCAGAAATCCAGGTGTCGGCATTTCCTGATGTGAATTCGTATTTCTTCTTCCTCTCTCCTCCATTCTTAGGGGACCATGTGTCGATGTTTTTCGAGGTGAACTCTGTTCGTTTCCGGCTTGTTTCGGCATTTATGGGTGCTCCGATAGGCGTTGGCGCATTTCTCGACCCTGGCTCGACTAATCTTTTTATTTTGCGAATTCGAAACGGCCGTTCTGTGGAGGGTTCTATAGCGGAAGTGGCATTGGGTCGAGCTTGGAAGGAGGTTTGGATATAACTATTCGCTGCGAGGTTGCCGCGTTGTCGGATGTGTCGTAGACATTGTCGGCCTGCTAAGGAGTGCGACATCGCAGGTGTAATATCGGGGCGTTAAAGCCAGAGCTTCCGGTCGTTACGGACAGGTATAGCTTCGCCGGCATTCGAGCGACGACGGTGCGACCGTGATTTTGTTAACTGTCTTGGAGCATCGAGGGTAAGGTATCCGAAGTTTGAGGCTGTAGTCTGTGAACTGGAGTCTTATTTTGTTTTTTTGCGACAGATGGTAGCTTCTCATAGACCCCTGGCGAGCTAAATGCGATTTTGAAGGATGGAAGACCGTGCATCCGCTAGTGCATTTCGTGGAAGTATCCCGCCATCGTAGCAATGGCTTGCCCCACTGCGAACCGAACTTGAACTTTCAACCTCCAAACTCCCGATTGAACGCGCTCACCAAAAGCCGCAATCTCACCAACACTCCAATTCGAAGAATATCTGGCCAACCTACCACAATACCGTTCGCTTCGATCAGTCTTTCTCTATTACAGCATCATGTCGAGCTCCCAAGCCACCCTAAGCGCGGTAACAGACGAGCGCAAAGCGCGCCTCGCGAAGCTCAAGAACCTCAAGAGAAAACAACCAGCGGATGAGATCGTTGCGCCAGAGTCAGAACGCGCAGCCTCGCCCCCAACAGAGCCGGACGTCACAAAATTGCACCTTTCCGGGCGCAACTACGACCCAGAAACGCGTGGTCCCAAGCTTGGCTTCGAGGCGCCCCCGACCCAAGACCTAGAGAATCCTACACTGGAAGAGCTCGCGGCAGACATTGAGGAGGATGTGAAGCAAAAGGCAACCGAAGATGCGCAGGATGACAAGGGTATCGATCTGTTCAAGCTTCAACCCAAAAAGCCGAATTGGGACCTGAAGAGAGACTTGGAGAAGAAGCTGGAGATTCTCAACGTTCGGACGGACAATGCTATTGCGAAGCTAGTAAGGGAACGCATCACAGGAGCTCAGAAAGCGGCTACACAGACCAAGCAAGTCGATGCAGGCAGCAGGGAGGGCGACGCAGCTGGAATTGATGGTATTGCATTAGTGGAAGGAGTGCGCGTACGCGAGAGGGAAGAAGAGGACGAGAGACGAGAGAAGGCGGACGAGGAGGATGACGATTTGGCTGTTTAACCAGCAAATCCTGGCGCGAGTGGCAGAATGCCTTTGTGTTTTTACAGTTGCGGAGCAGGCATAGACTCCATTTGACCTACAAATAATTGATACCCCATAGCTACCTATTTAGGGACTGTGTCAACGCCAGTCTCTTGGAAAATGGACTGAGACTGCGCTCTCGTTCTGGCTGTCGCTCAGATCCACCACCCTGCCTTTGGTTCTCACCACCTCGGCCCAGTGTAGGCTGAGGCTCGTCTCGATATCCGT